ACTAAGCTCCTCTCTCCGTGTTGAAAGCACTGAGAGGTCTCCACCAGTGCCCTCCGACCTCTGAAGGGACTCATGGGCCACTCTCTCGCACTCCTCCTTGGAGGAAGGATCCATCTGAAGCCCTCCAGCAGCGGTGACAATAGAGGCTGATTTTGTCATACACAAACTTTTTTTTAGCAGTGGGGCGGGAGGCCAACCTTTCAATTAGCAGCGTGCCCTTGGGGCCGCATCTTGCAGCACTTTCCTCTCTTTCTCTACATGGCATGCAGGATCTCTGGGATTCTGCCTCAACATCAGAGCCTTTTGCTGAGGGATACCAGTATTATAAATCTCTCTGCAGCTGGGAGGAGCTTCCCAGTTGAGAGTCAGCCCTATGGTTTTCAAATGCCCCCTTTCAGCTCTGCCAATAAATTATTGGGTCTCTTTGTTTCTTTCAGTCTCTCTTTTTTTGGCTCTGTCTAAAAATTGGTGGGATGGTGTTTCTCTAGGCTGTGGTAAGGTCCGAGGCCTGCTTCTGCCAGCTCCATAAAGCGTCCTCCCCTGAGCTGCCCACCTACATGAAGCAGCAAAGCACTCCAAGTGCCAGTGGGCGGCCAAACTTTACCATATTTGTAGAGTTACATGGGCAGAGGAGTTAGAGATGTAACATCTTGCTTAAAAAAATGAGATGCTTGCTTTGTCTTTGCCCTTCTTCATACTCCCTGGTTAGCAGTGCCTTGCACCCAGCCCTATTTGTTGGGGAGAGGGACGCAAGCTTCCCTTACACCAAACACCTCTTTGTCCTAGTTTCACTTAGTTGCCTTGACTCTGGCTGTCTCGGTGGAGAGCCAGCAGTGCTGCCCTGTGTTGCATCCATGGAAAGGCTGAATGCAGGGCCATGCGTGCTTCTGGGGTGCACTGAGGTTTGCAAGTCTCCGGCCATCTGGGAAACTGGACCTCCAGTGGGTGTAGCAGAAGAGGGTGATGGACCAGGCTGCCGCTTATAGCTGCATGAAAGCTGTGACCAGAAGAGGGGCTGCGAGTGACTCCCTGTCTCCTGTCCTCTGGGGTGAGGCTAGACTGATGGGTTGTTGCCTGGAAAGCCAGCATGGCTGCAATTCGGATGCCACGGAAACAACAGGAGCTAATTTTTTCCTCTGATTCTGCTTGACTACAACACTAATTGTACTCATTAACAGCTCCAGCCTTTTCCCCTTTTCCTTGGGGAATCACACAATTGCCTTTCGTTTTTAATAGAGCTTTTGCATTGGGCCCAGGAGGGGAGACTGCAGCCAGAGATGGGGCACATCTCCTGCCCTACGTGCTCTGTGCAATCCCCCAGGAGAAGGGGCTGCTTGGGCCAATTTGGTCACGACCGCAGAACTAGCGGCCCATGTCTGGGACAATTATCGGCCTTGGGGACTGGGAGACCTTCAGCCTCATTACTCCAATTGCAAATTCCTGTGTTATTATTGAAGTCTAGACTGAAAGCAGCCAGGATCGGCAGAGAAAACAGTTTAAAATATTCAGTCTTCTGAAGGGTTTGTTTTCTGCATTGAGGGTGTCAGTCCTAGGCTGTCTCTAGAAACATTCAGCGCACTGACAGCGATGACTAACTGCTCCCTGTGGTCAGGCAGTTTGTGCCTGCTGGCACCTCGCTGGGCAGGGAGCAGGGCAGTTCCTCGGGCTGTGGTGGCATCCCTCTCTGTGTTTCTCGAGACCCCACGGTTCTATTCCTGCTCTTGCCGCTTGTTTGTCACTAGCTCTCAACCAAATGCTCTTTTCCAGGAGCAGTTTGTTTTCCCCGCTGCGATCAGGTACTAGTATGGCTGCTACTTAAAATTCCTTTTAAATACGACTCTCCCCTGCTGCTCTCCAGTATTTGTTAGGGGGGATTTAGTTGTAATTACGTTTTGGCAATCTAAGCAAAAATAGCCTTGCAAGGCAAGGCTGAAATACTAGCTGCAGGCTCCTTTTATCCACAGCGCATTTAGCTTCTTGCAGATGACATCACTTAGGGCTTTAGTCCTGTTGTTGTGCCCAGCTGCGCGTCGTGTCCACCTCTGCTATTTCATGTACTTGCCCGCTTCTCGCCTCTGATGCCCCGCATCTAAGCTGGTGCTGATGAGTGCAGGCTTGCTATTAAGTCTGAAAATGCTGCAGTCCTGCTGTGTTCGCCCTTAAATACGCTTTGTGAGTGAGCTGTGGAAGAGCCCTTCCCTGGGAGACTGTTCCTCTCCTCCCGTCTGCCACCATGGTTGAGATTTGGAGGAATTCAGCACTGGTTCCTCTTGCTCAGCCTTGAAGGGAGCGAGCTGGCTGAGGTGTGGAGTTTGTCCTCTTTAAGGGTACAATTTTTCCTGAGGTCAGAAGAAAAGCAGTGTTGATCAGTGCCAAGCGCCAGGTTTGGTGCCTCTTATGGCTTGGGGAGGGATGGAGCCAGACTGTGTTTTGAGCAGGGCTGTTGGGTTGTGGTCTACTGTGTCCTGCTAATAAGAGTGGTGAAAAGAGAGCCATGGGGTTGTTTGGGAGGGGAGGGAGCCTCTGTCATGCTCTAGAAAAAGGTTTCAGTTTCTCTTCATTCAGGAAGCAAGCCTGGAGCCATGGGAGCCCCAAATCTGCGGTGAGTCATGACCTTCTCTGCTCTTCTCATCCTGAAGGCTTTGTCCACCCTTAAACTTCCTCAGATGCCTGCATAGTGGCCTTTGGGGAAACCGGCAGGGCTTTGAACCCCTTTGAGCCCTGGAGTCCAGCCCCAGGGCTCTTCTTTCTGAAGGGGATGTTGGGCTGTGGTGGGCTCATAGGCCCTGGGTGTCTCTGGCTATGGCTGGTCAAGCGGGGGCTGATGGCTGGGCAGGGCTGGGCTTGGCTGGAGGGCTCAGGGAGTGGTGGGGGCATTGCGCTGGGTGTCTCAGAGCTGGAGCTAAGGAGGAAATCTGCTTCCCAGCCCGCAGAGAGAAAGGAGTCCCCGTTTTTGGAGGGGAGCAGTTGGGGGGTGCTTGGAGGATGATGTTGCCCCATCTTAGTGCTTCTTGATGCAACATGGGCACATGGGGCTAATGCTGGGCTAGGGGGGGCTTTTCCTCTCTCACTGCACTCCCCCCAGCACCCTGCTAGCTCTGGATAGAGTGACCTGCAAGGTGTTCCCCCACCAGATCCTGCAAGACACATCTGCTGCCCGAGACCTGTGGCATCCTGGCTACTGCTTTTGTTTTTGTCCTTGTCTCTGGTGTGGTGATAAACCCCAGGGACCTCTGGAGGGCAGGTAAAACCACTGCTTGGGGATGGTGGAGAATGTGTTCTCAGTCATGTGCTTCTGGCAGGCTGGAAGACCTCATCCCTTTCCAGTTGTGCTGTATGGACAAGCCGGGGACTGAGCTTACCTGGAAGAAGCAGCAGCTCTGCGGAGTGGGAAAAAGTGGGTGACAGTACCTGGCCCTGTTCAGAGCGCCCTTGCCCTGGAGGCTGGCGGCAGGGCAACAGGGACCCAGGAATCAATGGGAAATGGCCAGGCAAAGACAGACTGGAGCTCATTAATTCTGCACCTTCTCGGGGAGGGAGAGCCCAGGGCCAGGGGACATGGCTGGTGCTATGGTTTGGGCAGCTTACGGCAGCTCCTGGCTCTCGCAGGGCTGGGAACGCTTGGCCAGGGCAGCCTGTCCCTTCAGCCACTGTGGGGCTGGGGAGAGGATGTCGCCGTGGGGTGGCTGTGGGGGGATAGGAGTGCTGTGCAGTGCTGTCACTCACCAGCAGGTGCCCCAGGGCCTGGTCACCTCACCCAGATCATGACCACAGGGCTTGCCCCCATGGAAGGTGACCCAGGCAGGGGGGACAGGAGGCAGCACCCAGCCAGGGCACTGGGTGCTTGGTGAGCTCCTCTGGGCACCCCTGCCTGCGTTGGTGGGCACCATCCCTGTCTGCTTCAAGGTGCCAGCCTGGAGCGCCGGATCCACCTGGTCTCGGTGCTGTGGGCATCATGCACCTCCCGGGGATGGGGCAGGAAAAGCCACTTTGCAGGGAGCACCGGCAGGCTGGCACAGCTGGAGGGTGGCTCTGGGCCATGACCAGGCTGCAGGCGTCCAAAAGGTGATGTCTCAGCTGCTGGGTGTTTGCCTCCCTCCTCCATCCGTGCCCACAGTGCCCTCACCTCTGGCAGGCAGTGCCAGGAGCCAGTTGCGGGCAGTAACCAGCTGGTTTTCTCCCAGCAGCAGCAGAGGCAGCCGGTGCTGGGACAGTGAGGCTGATGGAGACACAGCATGTCCTGGAGACGGGTGCAGGTGGCGTGAGCTGGACCACAGAGGAGCAGACGCTGCCCGCCACCGTTCCCAAGCTGACCTCCCACATCTCCCCCGCCAGCAGGGACAAAGCCGCGGGCGCCCTAGAGGTCAGTGAGGGGCGTGGGGGGGATGCAGCATTGCTGGGATGGGGGGAAGGGGCTGTGCTTGACAGAGATGATCCTGTGGGGCAAGGAGGGCCAGCGGGGGAGGGAGTCATGTAATGATGCTCGTAGCAGGGTGGGTGCCAAGGGGCACCCATCCCTGAGGGGGTTTGGGAGCCTGGTGGCCCAGGGTCTTCCCACCCCAAAATGCTTGCTAGGGAGCAGGGACAGCAATTCAGCTGCCCCCAAGAGCCATGGCCGGGGCATAAATGGAGGCAGGAATTACGTGCCCCTAATCCCATCCATGGCTCCATTGCTGCCGTGGGATGGGGGCCTGTATCAGTGATTCCTGCCCCGTTGCCACCATGGCAAGGGATGCCAGGGGGCCCCATTTGCCCTGGGCTTGAAGCTGTGAATTTGCAATGGGGTAACATGGCTCTTGCTGCCAGTGCTGGTGCATGGCCCATGAGAGGCCTGACTCAGCTCCAGTTCCCCCTCATCTCGTCTCTCAGCACCCTTGTGGGGTGCTGGGACAGGACTGTGTGGCTTAGAGGTCTGTGGCCAGCCTGCATGGGTGGCACATCCAGCCTGGATGAGGGGTAACCCCATCAGTGGGCATGCAGCAATGGTGCCACAGAGGCTCGCGAGACTGCCACAGGCTTTACTTCCAATGTTCAGCACAGCATGACCACCCCCATTCCCCATCACCACCACTGCTGGGGGGTGGCAGAGCCCTGCTACCCGCAGTCCTCCTCCAGCGCTGTGCTTGGCACCAGGAGCTGCTGTGCCCGCAGGGATCTCAGCCAGGCAGGCTGGTTTGGGGGCACCCAGCCCCTGGCTCCAGCGGTCCCGGCAGCAGGAAGGCTGGTGGGTGCCTGCGGGCATCACTGCGGCAGGTACTGCTTGGGGTCCCCGGGGAAGGGCAGGGCAGGCGCCTGGTTGAAGTGAGCCATGAGGAAGATGCCAACAGTGCCACACACGAAGAGGGAGGCCATGATGATGAAGCAGACACGGTCGATCACCCGTCCCACCAGGATCCATTCTTCACTCTCCTGCCGGTGGCATGAGGAGGGGGGTGAGGGCTGCCCCGCTGCCCCCCATGCAGGTCCCTCTCCTCCCTGTCCCTGACTCACACTGCTGAAGTCGTTCTGCTCCCGTGTGGCATTGGCGATGTGGTTGCAGGCATCCACGCAGGCGCGGATCTCAGGACCTGCCTCCTCCAGGCTCTGGCAGAAGTCCTGGGCACTGCCGCTCTCCAGGCCACGTCCTATGGGCAGCGGAGCCAGCACAGCGGGCACCAGTGAGTGCCCGGCCACCTGGCACATTGCCCAGCCTTGTGGGGAGGTGCCAACCCCCCGGGGCGCTCACCAATCTTCTCCAGCACGGTTTTCATCAGCCCGTCCCTCTCCTTCTGCTTCTCGAAGAGCAGCTCAGTCCGGGCTTTCCAGAGCATGTACTCGTCGGCTTTCACCATGAGCCCCAGGGAGCTGCGTCTCCGGGCAGCTCGCGGTGGCCCTGGTGTCTCCTCTGGCATGTGCATGCCCAGGTAGTGGGGCAGGAGGTGCAGGCACACCTGGGCACAGCGTCACCCACAGGGACCTGACCCCCCCACCACCACCCAGGGCACCCAAATGGTGCGATTGGGTCCCTTTGCATTGCCTGGAGCATCCCTGTGGGGTACCCTTGTGCCACCGGGATGCTGGGTGTGTTGGCACCTGCTGCTCACCAGTGTTTGGAGGGGTTTGGTGGCACAGTGTGGTCCCTTGGGGACATCTGGGGGGGTCCCTCTTTGTGCCAGGATTTGCACTCAGATGAAGGCATGCCCAGCACCCTGCTCTGCGAGGGACATGACCTCGGTCCCCAAATACCCACCCCATTCCCCATGTATAAGGGGTAGGGGGATGACGGCAGGTACCTGGCGCACTCTCTGGGACATGGAGTGAGTGTTGGGCGTTCTCAGTGAGATGTTGAGGACGATGACAGCATTCACCACGATCACCACCGTCACCACCATGAGGAAGGTCAGGTACCTGGGGGAAGGGGGCATGGGGCCTCACGTGGGGCTGCTGGGTCACAGGCTATGGGCATGTAAGGTCCTTCTCAGTGCCCTCCTGGGCTGGAAACTGGGGATCGCAGTGGGACACGGGCACATGGTAGCCCTGTGCCAACCCCACCTGGGCTGGGGGTTATTTCTGCGCCAAGGTCTTGTCCCTGGGCACTGGCTGCTGCACAGCACCCGGC